GCTGAGTGGCTTAAAGCAACAGAAATTTATTTTCTTCTAGTTCTGGAGGCTGGAAGCACAAAATCCAAGTGTTGGCAAGACTGTGCTCCCTCTGAAGCCTCTAGAGGAGCTACTTCCTTGCTTCTTCCAACTTCTGGGAGTCCCAGGCATTCCTTGGCTTGTAGGGAATCCAATCCCCCATTTTCAAGTAGCATTTTCCCTGTGTCACTGTGTCTTCATCTGGCCATCTTCTTAAAAGGACACCAGTCGTATTGGATTAGAAGTCCTCTTTACTCCAGTATGATCTCCTCTTAACTACTTATATTTGCAACAACCCCATTTCCAAATAAGGAACCGTTTTGAGGTACTAGGGATTAGAACTTCAATATATCTTTTTTTGGGAGGGCACAATTCAACTCATAATAGCACCTAACAAATATTAGTTGAATGGATAAATAAGATGACTCTTGAACTGATGTTTCTCATTAATATAAATGGGATTGACTGTAGTGTATTCTGTAGGGGAGACCAAGAACTAAAGCCCAAGGCCAAGGCAAAATATATTATTTCTACATCTTTAAGTTTTGCTATGGTTTCAAATTGATAGAAGGCATGTACTCAGCAACTAAAAAAGACACCAGCATAGACTCAAACACACCCTTTTAAAAATCCCTGTTTTTCTAGTCACCATACATTGTCTGAGGATTGTGTCAAAGCAGAAATAGAGTTCCTACTTGCATTCTCCAGGATCAGATGTGGGCCAAAATAAAAGAAAATACTCTGAAAGGAAAAGGAAAAGGGTTTCCTAATACAGGGTGTGGTGGGATCTAAAGAAAGGTACTGATGACATCAATATCTAATATTTATTAATACTTAAATATTTTATATATGAATATCTAGGATAATATGCGTTTTCTCATCAGTCTTGTCTTTGTTTAAATTCAGATAAGGATCAGTTTGCAAGGGTAGCAGGTGAGTGAGGAGTTTAACAGTGTGGGTTCTGAACCCAACTCCTCTGCTCACTAGCTGTGTGAACTTGTGCAACTTCTCTGTGCCTCAGTTTCCTCATCTGTATAATGGAGATGATAATGGAGGTACCTTCCAGAGGGCTGTTATGGAAATTGTATGATTTGGTTGTATAAAGCACATAGACTTGAGTCAGCTACATGGTAAGGATTCAATAAATGTTAGCTACTGTTTTCATTATATGCTAGCCATTTGCCTCACTTCAACTAAATATGATAACATGTAAAGGTTTTCACAATATTTATTATAGTTTTAAAGTCTTAGGCAAGTTGGCTTTTATTCATATACTGTATCTACTATTAAAATAAAATCTCTTAGGCTGTCATGAATGGCATAATTTTTAATCATGCCGAAAGACCTCCCATATCCTACTGACACCAGAACTAACCCAAGGGAGCAGGCAGTCCATATAACTCTTCTTTGCAGAAAGGTCAAACCTCACCATACTAAGAAACATCTGTTTCCATTGATCAAAGATAAATCATTAAAATTCCAAAATTAACAATTATTATAAATGATAAAAGTAAATAAATTACTATCAACCCCCCCCAATTGATGAATATCCATTTCTAGAAATACAAGCAGAGAGACAAGAGGTGAAGAAAGATTACATGGCTTAATTTGCTCTGATGAGAAATGGTTCAGAAATAGCAAACTATGTCACAACAAGGGATAGTTTGTGTGCTGGGGTGACAGAGCTGGGCTGATACCAGAACGTGGCCTCCTTTATCATGGTAGGGAAGCTCCTTGATAATACTTTGATTTATTGACAAGGGAATGATCCCAAACTGATACCTTTTCTGCCTATATATTCAGATAAATAATGTCAATCCAAGAAGAAGACTGTGCAGGACTAAAAGCTAGAATATTCTTTCCCCAGAAATAGTGTACCAAACCATAATATCCATTTTTAAATGTATTTCTATTAAAGGTGTTTACTATTCTGAATCCTTGTCAGTGTATTTACAATGAGTTTAACTAAGCATTTATCTTTTTGAAAAATATCCAAAAAGTTGTCACTGCAATCCTCACTTGCTATTAAAAGGCTAATAAGTTCCCAGTCTTCTCACTGGGTTTTTAATTTTTTTTATAAAGATAAAATCAAACTATTAAAACATAGAGACCAACCCAGATACAATGTGGGAGGGGATATGCAGGCTGAGACCGCCAGGAGGAGGAGATTATTGAGAGCCATCTTGGAGGCTGGCTACCCAAATTGTGGAGATACATATGATTTACCCATAACGTAGACTTTTGGAGGAGGTAGCATATGTATTTCACGTTTCCAATGAAATATATCTTCCTTTCAAAAAATAGAATGACATGAGAAAAAAATGTTTAATGTTTTAGTGTTATTGTTACACTGTTTTCTTTAACCTATTTTGATAATTGACATAATATTTCTAGAAGATCACTTAAACAATTATAAAACATGAAGCAAGATGTCTGTTGAACCAACGAACATTAAAGATTTACAGCACGTTCCAGAGCATGGTTCATTTCAGAATAGCAAAATTGCTTTATTTCCTCCTAACAAGGACCAAGAAAATTAAATTACCTTACCTTGAAATGAGCAATCCATTTTTTTTTTTTATTCCAGGTTATTTCTTAAAACTGTTTTGGGTATGTTTTAGGCATCTTGAGAATTTTGTCAACTGTTTACTTCCATTAAAAAATAAGTAGAAGGGGAACCTGGGTGGCTCAGTTGTTTAAGCAACCTACTCTTGGTTTGAGCTCAGATCATGATCTCAGGCTCTTGAGATAGAGCCCCCACTCCCCATCAGGCTCCGCCCTCAGTGCGGAGTCAGCCTGAAATTCTTTCCCCTCCTCCCTCTCTCTCCCCCCTCTACTCCTCCCCAATGAGCACACTACCAGGCTCTCTTTCTGTCTCTCAAAAAAATAAATAAAATCTTTTAAAAAAAAATGAACAGAAATCAGAGATGTTGAAGATAAAGATTTTTATAGATTAAACATTGGAACATATGTCTGGACTATAATATCTAACATAACTTGTGTTTTATATCTCCAAACTTAAGTTGCCACACACCGGAATATTCTAGTTTCTTATCAGTTAGTTCTATGGAGCCATGTTTTGGTAATATCTTCCATCTGTGATATTATAATACACAGTCTATTTTAATTTTCATTCTTACAAGATGCTAACCACTCTTCACATGCATGTGGCATATAAACATGTAAAACCACAGGTTTTAGATCTGAAAAGACCCTTGGAACTTTTTATGTTAAAAATGTTCCTCACTTTTGAAGGGTTGGAAAACACAATGCTTCATGGCACTGTCTCCCCCATGTTCTCAGTTTCATCCTCAAGACTCTCATTAAAAATCAGAACCTATTGATAGCACAGAGCAGTATTAAATCACTGATAATTATTCATAGCATATGATCTCCAGAAAAAAAGACCCATACCAGTTGATACACGATGGTTCCAGAGAGTTAGAGGGATAAAAATCAAAGACAGACATTGGGCAGGCTGTATCTCTTGGAGAGCTCTCTGCCCCTACCAGACACATACTCACACAGTGATCAGCTGATAGTGCTTCTCCTTGAGTATTTAACTTTCTTCTTAAAAATAAAACTGAGGTATTAAAAAAAATGATCAAGGTTAAAAGTAGGAGCCATTACAAATATAGCATACGCACACATACCCAAACACACTCAGCAAGCTATATTTTGGTTACTCGGCTGCATGTTAAAGAGCTTATTTTGGTTTCGAATTAGGATTGCATTACAAAGTTTAATTCTAAAGCAAAGAATTTTTTTCTCTCTTTTCATTTGGTTTGTGGAATTACAATACACTGTATAGAGCTAATCTTAGCCAAGGATTACCCCAAGGATAAAACTAATTTCTTTCTCTGATGGTTAGCCCCAGCCAATTTACACAAGAATTACGGGACTGTAGCTAAAATTAGACCAGTCTTTGGTGACTTAGCTAAATTTCATTTCCTAAGTTTGGTTTGCAGTATCAAAATTTTTTATTTTCCAAGTTCATTGACTAAAATATGTGTCTTTATGATGAGATCTGTTCTTCATAAAATCTGATTGTTTATAACCCAGGACTTTGTGGTCTCGCCAATATTTTAACATTTTGATTCTTACATGTTACCAATGATTTTTAAAATTTATTTTGATTCAAGGATCATCCTTGTTTTCTTTTATAAGAAACTGTCCTGCACTTTCCTTTTGTCCTTTTCTAATTTGTTGGTAGTGTCTCAATTCTTTCATTTCTCTACAGAAGATTCCTACAAATTAATCCTCTAGGATACATTTTCTTAGAGCACAGTTACATGAACATATCAGCATTTAATTAAATATGTTGTCTTCTTTCACTGGTTTCTTTTCTAATTATTGCTATATTATGAACTTTAGTAAAGCTAACTCTAACACCAATCTCCAAAACTTGAGCCTTTCAGGGCCATTTATCCTAAATTTTATTTCTGTATCTAATAAGGGGATCTTTTCAGTTATCTGCTGGTGCATTAACAAACTACCCAAAAATGGTTTAAAACAATCACTTTATTATTTCTCACAAATCTGAGGGTTAACTGGGGCTCAGCTGGATGGTTCTTCCTCTGGTCTCATTTGGAGTCTCTCATGCAGCTTCAGTCTATGGCAGATCGGGCTGGAGCGTGCACAGTGGCTTCATTCTGGCCTCCTCCTTGGAAGGCTGGGCTCAGCTAGGACAACTGAACATTTCCCTCTTTGTGTGGCCTCCAGCGGAGTGGCCCAGCTTTTTACCCTGCAGCTCGGGACTTTTAAAAGGGCAAAAGTAGAAATTGCCAGACCTTCTTAAGGCTTAGTCCCAGAGTTATTCTGCCACATTCCATTGGTTGAAGTGAGTCATCGGGTCAGCTCAGGTTTAGGAGGAATTAGGACATGCGTACAGGAAGGTGCGGCTAGTTGGGGCCATGTCTGAAAGCTGTCTACCACAGGGGTTGCGTTTTCCTTTTTCTCCATTAAGACCTTGATTCTTCTCTACTCCTTCTTCAGTTCTCTGCATCTCTGGTGGTTTACCCAAGCCTACAAATATCACCTTCTTATCCATAAACATGAGGAATATCCTACAGTGGAGTCCACCGGAGGGCCTACAAGGAGCTGAAGTTACTTATACTGTGCAGTATTTCATGTAAGTTGGTTCTTTTCCTTTTGGCTAATTTAAAAACACAAGACTCAAACACCTAGTAACTGTGCAAAGATAAACCATCTATTGTACTAACTAATGGAAAAAAAGAGAAGTTTTAGCTATTCCCTGCTAAATTTTCTTGGAATGTTCTTTCAGATTAAATTAGAAAACCGTTTCTTGGTGAAGACAGAAGCACTGGGTTCTTAGGTGAGGGAAAGTCACTTAAGTGGGGAAAAGAAGTTGGTCAAAATGTTATTCTGTGGCCGAGAAAACAAGGAGGTCCATCATCTCTGAAATGTCTCAACTTATTGGAATAACAGGCATTTTTAAGTGAAACTGAGTGCAGAATTCTGTGCCACCAGCTCTTCCTATTAAAGATAGTAGTGAATGGACATTTTCACATTTCACCTGTCCCTCAAAACTCATTGCAAGCAAGAAAGAATGCAGAACATACAGATGATGCCCATGTTCAAGGAAACAGAGGAAATGGCTAAACCCCAAGCCACAAGCTAAGGAACATACAAGCAAAATACTGTGGAATCTAAAGGAAAACAACTGCAGAAACTGAAAGTGAATCTATACCTTCTTAAACACCAACAGTAGAAATTTAATTTTACAAGGATAAATGTCACAGTATTAAGAGGCTTATGTAACAACCTAAGGATATGGAATCTAAGGATTTCTGCCACCAGAAATTGAGGAAATGTCCCCATGAGCCCCAGTTTGGTGCCACAGAATGTCAGAGCAGAAGATGCTGAAAGAGAAATCATGTTCAAGTGACATATTCACTGTAGCAGCGCAGTCGCCCCCGTGAGGAGGGTGCAGGAGGGAGGGGAAGCGATGATGGCCGGGACTAGGGGACTATGACCTTACTGATGTGTCTTGTGGCACATCAGCCTCCTGCCATTCCCAAATGTGAAGGTGGGCAGGCTCTCCAGCAAAGGGATAATATGATTTGGAGAGGAGGTGTGTGACATACCCTCACTCCTACACCCATTCGCCCAATATTCAATAAATAACTGGCCCTGTTCAAAGAGTAATAGTCCCAAAGAATCTGGCATAGCACCTCTCCATTATTACTGGAAGGGAGAAAGACAAACATACACACACACACGTGAAAAGTTCCTGAAAAGCTTTCTCATGGGAATAGAAAAATTCAGACAAATAACTGTTCATAGTTTGAGTCCATGCACAACATGATCTCTAATGGTAAATAGGAAGGAAAGAAGAAAGAAAGGGAAAGGGAAAGGAAGGAAGAAGGAAGGGAGGGAGGGAGGGAAGATGGGAGGCAGGGGAGAGAGAAAACAAGCAAACATTTAAAGAAAAAAATTCTAAGACAAGGGGAAGAATTTTTAAGCAAGTGGGCAGACTTAGGGAAGAGATGGAAAATAAAAATGTTATATGGAGATGAAAACCCTGTGGCTAACTGATAGTACTTGAGCAAGTGATAATGACTCTCTGGAGCTGCACATCACAGGTGCATGCTCAGTCTGGGAAAATGTAATAAAAACAGTAGGAAGACCTATCCTGGTGAGTTTACTGAACTTTGAGAAGATAAGGTACTTTGTGACTGTCGTAGCAAGAGCAGGGCTCAAGGAGGGCGGGGGGAGGGGGATGATTTCTATGCGGCAACACGCAACAGAAGACAGTGATACATCCTCTGAGGGAAAAATAGGTGTGATCTAGGATTCTTAATCAAGTTCGACGGATGTATTTTCAAGCAAGTGAGATGTCAGGAGAGCCCTCCCCTGAGATCTTCCTGATGGGGAGAAAATCACTAACTAAAGATGATATCTGGCTGACAGAGGTAAAGATGAACCTGAAAGAAGAGCTTAGTACCGACGAGATTATTTGTCATTGTGAAAAGACTTGTGCATGCATTGAGACCATCTAAGTGAAGAACTGAGACTAAATAGTGATGGGAAATGTGGTTATCGAAATTTCTTATAAATGTTTGAAACCTAAACAATAATATAACAAATTAAAAGGTGGGAAAGTCTATAAGTGTACCAAGTTTCCTAGCAAGAAGCCATTAAATGTGATCTAAAATGAAAATATTTCATCTTGATAACCAAACATTCAATATTGTTCATAAGCCATTTTCTTACTTTAAAAGATCTTTTAGGAACTAATATCCCTTGTGGTGATGAAACACTTGAACTACAACAATTCCTTTAATTTCATTTCAATTTCTTTTTCTATTAAAGTTCAAATCAGGGGATTTGAGTGGTAGTTGAGTCGGTTAGGCATCTGACTCTTGATTTTGGCCCAGGTCATGATCTCCGGGTCCTGAGATTGAGCCTGGGGTTGGGTTCTGAGCTCAGCGTGGAGTCTGCTTGGGATTCTCTCTCTCCCCACTTGCAATGAATGAATAAATAAATAAATAAATAAATAAATAAATAAATAAAAAGATAAAATCTTAAATAAAGTTCAAATCAGGCTAAATTTGCAACTTTGATTAAAACCATATGTATGGTATAATCTAGTTATTGTCTGTGTATGCAGACATCTAATCATTCCTGTGTGAACAGAGAAGCATAATGAGATGTCCAAAATCATGTATGCCAAATATTTCAGGTAATAGGTCTTAGAGTGATTTGTTTCTCTGCTGATTACACATTTCTGATTGTTTAAGTTAAAAAAGAAAAGTACCCTATTAACAACAAAAAGAACAAAGTCATTTTTCTCTATGAAGAAAATATTCTGACCACTAAAGGCAGTGAAATACTTCAGCTGCTATTCACAATGACTTCATTTATCTAGACCCTCATTTTCATTTTCGAGGAGTTTTTCTGGAAGCTGGTGTTTTAGGAAAGAAGACATCACTCTGCAAAGAGAAATGGCTCTTGAGTATGCCCTGGCCTAAAAAAATACAGTCATCACTGCTCTGTGAGAGCAAATAATTTATATGGTACAAATTTCCAAAATTAATAAAGAAACTTGGCACGTCAGAGGTCTTACATGCTTGTGCATGTCCAAGATGGACGGAAATACAGAGCAGTTTGTTTGTCACTGACAGGGCTCCAAGCTCCAAGCTCAGCTCCAAGGCCAAACAGTCCTTGGTTTGCAGCCAGGCTGTGAACCTAGCCAGGTAACCTTGGGCAACTTACGTACTATGTTTTTACACTTTGGAGGGAAGTTTGTTTCCAAGTAAAAGATGAAATTTTAACAACAATTTAAATTCCACCTGCCAAAAGAATTTAGTGCAGAAAATATGTAGTGCAATACTGAAACCACAAGCTTTGTCACAAGCTTTGGAAAAGTGGTTCAGAATCCAGGAAAGAGTATTTTCTCCTCCACCAACCTCTGTCATGGGAAGCTGTCCTGCACTTGGCAGGAGTGAGGAAGGTGGAGGAAAGGGGATCAAATGGGTGATGGCAGTATTTTCCAAACCATAAGTCAAGACCTGTTAATGGACCATGAAATCAGTTTTGAGGGACGTAGCTAGCATTATTTTTAATGCAAAGGACTGGAATGGTGTGAAGTGGATTGGCATGGAAAATAACTGAATTGATGGCGTGTACTAAAGTTTAAAAAGCATCTTATGAAACCTTTGTTTTAATATGTTAAATATATGTATGTTTCTGTGAGCTGGGTCACAATGTAAAATGGGTTTCTTCTTGTGGCTCACAGACAAAAAAAATATGAAAGCCCTTAGGCAGTGGTGGCCACTTGATGGAGAAGTTGGTCAACAAGATCTTAATTGTATTTCTAAAGTCTTCTGGCAGGTATGGTTCTTATGAAACAGGAGACATTAGCTTTCAGAAATCTGTTGCCATATTCTGAAAAGAGGAGATAACCCTTAAGCTTTGAGAACACTTGATAAAGTCCACATTTCCTCATTCTCAAGACATGCTCTTACCTTGAATTATATGATGCCTGTTTCTCCTTCTCCCAGTCTAGCTGCTGCTTCTTTTCTTTTCTTTTTTATTTTTTAGGTAGGCTCCATTCCTAGTGAGGAGCCCAGTGCAGGGCTTGAACTCACAACCCTGAGATCAAGACCTAAGCTGAGACCAAGAGTCAGACGCTCAATTGACTGAGCCCCCCAGGTGCCCCTTTAGCTGCTGTTCCTAACTGTACTTTATACCAACTTTTAAATCTTGATGATCCTGAAATTTTACCCTAGGCTTCGCTTTGGCTTCATGATAATTCCATTCACACCTATGCCTTAAATGAACAGTTCTGTGCCCTTGATTTCAAAATCACTGCCTCCCACTCAACCCTCTCTCCTGAGCCCCAGTGCCTACTGGGCATCCACAGCTGGATATCTTTCACATACCTGAGGTTCAACACGTGAAAAACTGAACTTGTTATCTTTCCTTCCTCCCACCCCACCCCGCCTCCCCATTTCCCAAACCTATTCCTCGGTATTCCTTCTTTTGGGGAATGTTACACTGTCCCAGACAGAAAGAGACATCATCCGGAACACCTTCATCTGCCTCATCTCTTACCTCCACTCAATCTCCAAGTCCTGTCTCCCCTAATATTTCTTCCTTTTGTCCTGTCATTTATTCCATGGCCACCATCCTTGTCCAAGCCACCGACATCTTCCAGCTGGACCACTGCTGTATCCCCTCAAGTGCTCCCCAGGCTGCCACTGCTAGCCCACTGTGTTCTCCATGCTGCACCAGTTAGCTTTCTAAAACCCCACCAGGCCTGCTTTAATGCCTTCCTAGCCTCCCATGCAACCCTGTCTCTCTCACTGGCTCAGCCCGTGGCACTTCAACTCTCCCTACCTCAGTCTCTCTCACCTGAAAAGTGTTAAAAATATTCCTCCCCCCACCTGCTATGGGTGTTGTGTCTTTAATAAAGGAAAGGAGAAATCAATATCAACAACCTAGTCACCATCATCACCATCACTATAATTACTGTGGCATGCACTCCAACTTGTGAATTTTCCCTAGACCCTTCATAGCAAGCAGATTTTTAAATTTTATGAGAATGTCAAGGTAATTTTTCTTCCGAGAAAAAAATGACTAATATTTCTTAAAATAGCCCATCAAATTGACCTTCATAGGCATAGTGGACTAAAATCTTACATAATTACTAGAAGAATTGATCACATGTTTTGTAACATTTTTACTGTAGCTCAAGAATAATAAAAAAAAAATACATGCTTTCAAAACGTGCTATCCACATTATAATTCACAGAAAGGAGAGGTGATTGCAGAAACTCAGACTCATGCTCCTGAGGTAATGAAAAAAATTGCCAGCAGCAAATGTGGAATCTTTTTTATCTCAATGACAGGCACTTTTGTTGTTCTGAAGTGAAGGTCTGAGCTTCCACTGAGTTTTATATAATGACTTTTTTTCCTATTGGAAAGCACAGAGGGCACATCATTATTAATTCAGTTTCTTTCTGAGCAGATATGGGCAAAAGAAGTGGCTGAATAAATCTGAATGCAGAAATATCAATAGGACCTGCTGTGATCTCTCTGTGGAAACTTCTGATTACGAACATCAGTATTATGCCAAAGTGAAGGCCATTTGGGAAACGAATTGTTCCAAATGGGCAGAAACTGGACGATTCTATCCATTCTTAGAAAGTAAGTAACACAGTTGTCTGTAAACACGGATAATACCAAGTTCTCCTGACGATCGAGTGTACCGTCTCGGCCTCACCTTCCCGAGAGGCCCGTGCTCTGGGGGCTCTGTTCTGCACTCTGTCCCTCAGCTGCTCAAGTGACCAGCCCACAGTGCTCCACCTTGCTGGATCTCAGAGTTTCATCTTTACCATGAGCGGTTTTGCTCATTGCCAAACTCAGTGTCTTCTTGTTCTGAACTTGGTAGTGTGATGATGTATTTCTAGGTGTAACTCAGAGTTCAGGTAACATCTTCTTGATGTTTGCTTTTTAAATTTTTCCATCTCTTGTTCTGTGGCTGACTCAGCTGTAGAGGATCCACTCAGAGCTGCCATAATGAAGTTTACAAGTATTTCTCCGGTCCTGGAGCCAGAACCTATCTTCTGGTGCCCTTCTAGGTCAGACGTCAGCACATTATGTGCTCAGACCAAATGCAGCTCGTCCCCCTTTCCATTTTTCTACAGGCCAAGAGCTAAGAATGATTTTTACATTTTATATGAATAAGAGTTGCAGCAGAGATCATATGGGCTGTAAAGCCTAAAATACTTCCTGTCTGGACCTTTCTGGTAAAAGTTTGTGAACCTCTGTTCTAGATCATTCTAATCACATCTTCAAAGTTATTTAACAGTGCTTCATTCCTCCATGGCTGATTTCCCCCACATATCAAATCATATTAATGTTATTTATCACCAACTATTCAAGTCACAGGAGTGTTGTAAACACTTTTAGTTGTATTTACCATCTGTTTATCTATGGGATTAGGCACTAAATAAATACAACACTTGAACTTTCTGTTTTCATATTGTGTCAGGGAGTGTGAAATGAATGTTTCAAGATGTGGCATAACTTGGGCTAACCATAGAGCAATCTGAGTCATCTCAACTAAGGGGACGGGGTGGGGGGGCTTTAGGGCTTTGATTCCAGTAGGATTATATTGTAGTTTTATCCACGGTGATTTTTATATCCAAACATGATGACTCCCTCTCCCCTCCCCTTTAAGCACAAATTGGCCCACCAGGGATTGCTTTGACGACAGATGAGAAATCCATTTCCATTGTTCTGATGGCTCCAGAGAAGTGGAAGAGAAATCCAGAAGACAGTTCTCTTTCCATGCAACAGATATACTCTAATCTGAAGTACAATGTGTCCGTATATAATACTAAATCTAATAGAACGGTAAGCCTGGAATGGAAGGGGGCCTATAATCTGTGTCACTTTCTGCAGCCCAGACGCAGGGGAATCTGGGAAGATGTGGTATTCAAAGACATGTTAGACAAGATACAGTGGAAGCTGATATGTAAACATCTCAACAACATCCTTCGGATTTCCCTTACAGACTCTCTCTGTCAGTGGGGTCTGATGTTGCTATTGGGTGTAGATCCATTGTCCACCTCACTTTGATGGAGAGCTTTGACTTGCATAACATCTGTCAGTCACTCTCCAAGAGAGAAAAAAATGTCAGCAAGGACACAGGGCAAGGTTGAGTAAGAAATCTGTCCTTATGTTGTTATTTAGACTTGTTCCCAGAATGGTTCCATTTCCTGACCATGCTCTGCTGAGCTAAAGGAAACGGGTATTTTAAAGCTGTTGCCGGGGAAAAAAAAAAAAAAAAAAAAGCTTGTAGTAATAATGAAGGATTTAGTGGTATCTCAGTGTTTTATTTCCTTCTAGAGCTATCTGTCTGGGGTGGTGCTGGAATTCTTTGACTCTAACTGCTGTTTGCCATCCTCTGCCCTAGTGGTCCCAGTGTGTGACCAACCACACGCTGGTGCTGGGCTGGCTGGAGCCAGACACCCTGTACTGCGTCCACGTGGTGTCTTTCGTCCCAGGGCCTCCTCGCCTTGCTCAGCCTTCTGAGAAACACTGTGTCCGGACTTTGAAAGGTAAACTTAAAAAGTCTCAACTGGTCTGAGGAAAGAACTCTGAAGAAACTAGGAGAAGTGTGGCAGGTATAAACAAGGTTTTGCATTGACATGGATGGAACTGGAGGGGGTTATGCTAAGTGAAATAAGTCAAGCAGAGAAAGTCAATTATCATATGGTTTCACTTATATGTGGAACATAAGGAATAGCATGGAGGACATTAGGAGAAGGAAGGGAAAAATGAAGGGGGGGGATTCAGAGGGGGAGACGAACCATGAGAGACTATGGACTCTGGGAAACAAACTGAGGGTTTTAGAGGGAGGGGGGTGGGGGGATGGGTTAGCCCGGTGTTGGGTATTATGGAGGGCACATACTGCATGGAGCACTGGGTGTTATACACAAACAAAGAATCATGGAACACTACATCAAAAATTATTGAAGTACTGTATGGTGACTAACATAACAAAATAAAATAAATAAATAATAAATTAATTTAAAAAAATAAATAAACAAGGTTTGGATAAATCCATGTCTACCAGAAACAGGTTGAGACAAAGGTAGAAACAACCATCACCAGAAATGCATGGAGCAGCCTGGGACTCTGCCATTGAACTTGGCCAGGATTAAGAGTATGTTTACATCCTCCCGGGAAACTCTCAGCACCTATCCTAATATCTGCTGCCAACAGGCCTCTTCCATGGGAAAAAAACAATTAAGGATTTTTACACATATCTTTTCATTTTTTAATTGTAGTCCCTTTCGTGAAGAGAAGTTCTGTGGTCTTCAAGAACATCAAATGTTAGTGCTAGAAACAAAACATTTTTCCTAAAAACACTTGAAGACAGCAGCCTTTGCTCACCCTCAGGAATAAAATTACAGGCGCTGCAAGTTGCACTGAGATATCAGTCACTGGCTGCACGGACGTCTGGGATCAGCGAATCCACGGTTACCCTCACTTACATTGCTTCTCTCTCCTTCCTTTTGTCTTCTCATATTTCCTGAACTTGGCTGAAGATTCTCACTCCTGTTCAGAGACATAGGGTTAGGAGCTTGGCATTTGCTTATTTGTGTTTCCCTAAGGGTCGGAGGACCTTGAACTCAAAGCCTGAACATTAAAAATTAACCCTAAAGTTTGCCTTCTTCGAATGGCCCCTCATCTATTATTCTTCCATCTCCCTCTTCCAAACACACTGGCCTAGGACAAATGTCACCCCTTTTCCCCCAGGCCAGTTCCATCGCCAGCTATGGGATGGCCATGGTGACAGGAGCCCTGCTTTCCTCTTCCCTCACCCCGCACACAGCACAAGATGAAACTGTCCTTAGGAATCTAAAGGGGATGTTGTGATATTCGAAAGTGAAAAGCTGTATTTTTCAGACTCTGTCCTTTCATACCTTCCCCTAAAACGAAGGATTCTCTGCCATATGTCAAATAAAACTGAAATGCAGAGCAAGCAAAAGGCAAAACAAAGCAGATTGAAGAAATCGTTTCTGTATTTGGAAAAAGTGCTCTGTTTACTAACAGCTTGATCAGCGGCCAAGTGGTAGGAATGAATTTCCAGTGGAGATCATTTAAGCAGTTGGCAGATTTAAAGCAACTCAAGTACGGATTCCATTAAATACTTCCCGGTAAGAGATGCAGCCAACTTTTTCACTAGTCTAGGAAAGGTGACAAAATAAGGAAGGATCTTTTCCGGGTCTGACCTTTTCCATGATATCCCAGCTGGACTACCTCTTTTGGGACCCTCTTTGAAAAATACTTCTACTCTCCACAGTCCCCCAGCCCTAAAGTATAGTTACAGTTTATTAGGTTTATTGTGGCAAACATGTCCTGCTGTATACTGAGTGCCATCGGTCATTGTTGTCATGGCATGTTTTAATTAGGGCAAGTTCAGTCCAGAGACCAGAGATGGCGTTCAGAGGACTAGGCTGAATCGTGGCCTCCTCACGGGGGAGGGGTGCTCAGCCACCTGCACCATCAGCACTGTGCTGTCTTCACCCTTCCGTGTGGAACCTAATGACACATGTGCTCCTCAGGAGCTGTTTGGGTGGAAGAGGCTGCACTTGGACCCCTGTACCTAGACTTCTCCCACTGGCTCTTGTTGACCTCCCTCATTGTCCGTGACACTTCTCTTTCCACTCTTTCACTAGATAGTTATCTGGAGAGTGACTTTATTGCTTTGTCTCAGGCCTAGGTATCAAGAGTATCCAAACAACTGTACAGATGAAAGAGCTCCCATGACACTCTCACTGAATTCATCAGTGTGTAAAGAATATGCTAGAACTTTTGCCATGTGTGCTAAAGCTCTTCCTTTTTCTACTGCTGTATTAGTCAGTACTCTCCAGAGAACAGAACCAACATACATATATGGAGAGAGACAGAGAGATTTATTTTAAGGAGATGGCTCACATGACTGGAGGCTGATGAGCTCAAAATTTATTGGACAGTCCAGGAAGCTGGATATCCAAGGAAGAGTTACAGTTCTTGTCTGAAGGTAATCTGCTGGCAGAATTCTCCTTCTCGAGGTGGTCACCATTTTTTCTACTAAAGCCTTCAACTGATTGGATGAAGCCACCCATATTATAAAAAGTAATCTGCTTTACTCAAGTCTATTCATTTAAATGCTAATCTTGGGGCGCCTGGGTGGCTCAGATGGTTAAGCATCTGCCTTCGGCTCAGGTCATGATCCCAGGGTCCTGGGATCGAGCCCCACATTGGGCTCCTGGCTCAGCAGGGAGCCTGCTTCTCCTTCTCCCTCTGCCTCTCTCCCTGCTCATGCTGTCTCTCTCTCTCTCTGTCTCTGTGTCTCAAATGAATAAATAAAATCTTTAAAAAAATAAAAAATAAATAAATGCTAATCTCATCTAAAAATGCCTTCTCAGAGACATCTAGAATCATGTTTCACCCAATATCTGGGTACCATGGCCTAGCCAAATTGGCACAGATAATTAACTATCACAACTTCCAGGATCCTATAGGAGACCGACAAATAGAAATCAGTCACACTGAGTCCTATTCACAACTGTATAGTCTGATCAATGCCGTTCTCAGCACACACCAGCTCAGCCACCTCCCTACACACATCCCAAGCTCCAGGCCTACCCAGAAAGTCTAGCCAACCCACTCAGGGTTGGTTCTGTTAGCCACATAGAAGGTGACACCACACATTCCCGACTTCTACTGAATATTTGGAAATGGTTGAGTCAGATGAGTATACGGAAAAGTCAGGGCAGCTTAATAGGATCATATCAAGAGGGCTTTTTTTTTTTGCTTGGTTTAAAGTGTATAAGTTGCTGGAATATTAGACACACTTAGCTTCAAATATAAGAACCTGAATGAATCTCACAGCCAGACATAAAATGCTGGAATATCTGCTGATTGGGTTGTTGATGCATCTACACTGTAAGGTTTGCAACAAGTCCAGATGAGTCCCAAAGACCAGCTCTTGTCAGAGAATAAGTATTCTGAGACCCTGTATCACTTTTTCTTCAAGCTTCTCAATTTATAAATGAAAAACTGAGCTCCTAATTGTAAGTGATCAGCCCAAAGCCGCCTGACATTGCCAATGTTTTCCCACCACACCGAATCAAAAACTCTCTTATCTCTGTCCTTTTTTTTTTTTTTTACAGACCAAACATCAGCATTGAAGGTTAAAATCATCTTCTGGTATGTTTTGCCCATATCTGTTACCGTGTTTCTTTTTTCTGTGATGGGCTACTCCATGTACAGATATATCCATGTTGGCAAAGAGAAACACCCAGCAAATTTGGTGAGTGTTCAGTGTGGCAGGAATCATTATAAACCCTCCCTTCCAGGCCAGTACAAAAGGAAGCTCAGACACAGCTCCCTTTTACAGGCAGCGTGGGTTTAAAGAGTGGATGAATTAGAAAACACTTTTGTTACTAGGTTCTCTCAGTAACATAACCAAAGAGAAAGATTCCTCAGCTTTGAAAAGATTCCACGTGTCATGAGCAGATTAGACTAGGTCTTGAGGTACACAAATAAATTTAAGTCAGGATCCACACTTTTCCAGATGTTCAAGTTAAGTTGGGTACAAGAATTTCAAAATGATACATGAAGGCTATGATGAAAGCAAGCAGCGAGGGCTGGGGAGGTACAGGGAGGTGCAGGGAGAGCATGGAAACCCCGAGTGGGGGACCAGGAGAAGTTTTATGTCTAGCCTCGCTTAAGAAAGGGGAGAAAGAAGTAGAGCACCTACTGCTGGCAGAAAACCCAGCAGGGACCAAGGTGCGTAGATGTTTGGAAAACCACATGATATTGCTGGATCATAGGTTGCTGATGAGGAGCTACAGAAGTAAGACCAGAGAGCGGGTGTTAGGGCCAGGTAATGGGAGAATCGGGTGTTATTCTAAGGAGTTTGGGCTTCATATTGTCTTGGTAAAGAGAAATCTCTGTAGGGTTTGGAGTAGGCAGCGTCAAGGTCAATATCGTGTTTTAGATCCAGTTGGATAGTGGGTCTAAGACAATGTTGGAAGGTGTAAGACTAGAAGCAATAAAAGGAGCTAGGAGACTGTGGCAGTTGTCCAGGGAAAGAAAGGGAGAATCTAAAAGGAGAGTGGGATGTAGAGCTTGAGACAGGCATGGAATGGGAGCACTTTTAGGAGGAAAATGGACAGGACAAGCATTCACAGCAAGGAGAGCAGGAAAATATTAAGAAGGAATAAATATGCTTCTGGAGGGTTTAGAAAGGCTGGGCATATTTTAACAATAAGAATGATTTATTTGCAAATTATTAAAACATGTTCACATAAACATGATGCATACATGTATTCCTGTTAGTTTGGTTTTAATATTCTGCCTCCTTTTAGACTTTATTTTTTTTTTAAAGATTTTTATTTATTTATTTGAGAGAGAGAGATAGCAACAGAGATAGCAAGAGAGAGTACGACCAGGGAGGAGAGGGAGAAGCAGGCTCCCCACTGAGCAGGGAGCCCGATGCGGGACTCGATCCCAGAACCCTGGGATCACGACCTGAGCCGAACGCAGATGCTTAACCAAGTGAGCCACCCAGGAGCCCTCCTTTTAGACTTTACAGGGAGCTTCCTAATGGCACAGGGAGACGTTCCTGGGTGAAACATTCAGAGGAGAATTGAGCACATGAGACTTTCTGAAACCAAAATGTTATAAAAGAATGAGGCTGAAGAATGAAGCCTATTTTGTAAATGTTAAATGAAATCACATCATGGGGTGGACAATGAGGATTCAAACATAAGTCATGACTGGCCATCTCAACAGACACCTTCCATATCCCCAGGACCATTTTAATCTCAAACCAGTTTTCCTGACATGATTTAGAGTTTCTCTACCAGCCATAAACAGGCAGATGGATTTCCCTTTTTGGCCTCATTATAGTGGGATTAGAAAGGTATATGGGGAAATAAGTGAAACCATGCCTACTCCTGTGCCTCTTTCCTTCTTTACATCCAGTTTTCATGCCCATCCACATTTCATGTCCAGAGCATGTCCTAACCAGGCTGGGAACCCAGGTAACCACTGCTAGTCGACAAATACATAGTCAACAATAATTAACAAAGCAATTTCCAAACTGTCTCACTCAGCCCTCGCCACTTCTCACGTGGCAGAAATTCTAATTTTACACAATTAAAAACTGAGGCTCAAGAAATTAAAAAACTGCCCTGCATTCCATGGGCCAGGGAGGGGGTAGTCTACTCGGATCCTTGGACGGGATACACAGCCCCCAGGGACCACTGTTCACTTCCATGAGCCTGTGTGTGTGTGTGTGTGTGTGTGTGTCTTGGGTCTCTTGCCTCCATGTGAATGAAACTTTCTGTTTATTCCAAGAATAACTGTCACTTCCACGAGTTGGTAAGAATAGGTCTTTAGAACTATGTGATGACAGTATAAGTTCTACTTAACAGCTGTTTTTCTTGTCTCTCTCAAGTGAAAAGGTGAAAACCATTCTCTTCTCTCTTTATAGATTTTGATTTATGGAAATGAATTTGACAAAAGATTCTTTGTACCTGCTGAAAAAATTGTGCTTAATTTTATCACCCTCAATATTTTGGAGGATTCTAACACTTCTCATAAGGATGTAAGTGTAGGGGAAAAAAGCAACGAGGTATGGGACCTGAATGAGCCCCTCGAGGACCAGGAGTCACATCAGGAGGAAGTGGAGGTGAAACACTTAGGGTATGCTTTACATTTGATGGACATTTTCTGTGACTCTGAGGAAAGCACCAAGGGTACGTCCCTGACCCAGCAAGAGTCAAAGGGCAGAACAATGCCCACAGATAAAGCTGTCGTTGAATACGAATATGCTGTAAGAACTGCTGACTTCTGTGTGGGGCCTGGAGATCAAGAGCTCAATCTGCAGGAGCAGGTGTCCCTCCAAGGACAGTTCTGTAAGCAACAGGCAGCTTTGGTAGACCTGGGCTCCCAAACACCACTGCATTCCTATGCCCCTCAGCTGCGAGACTTGGACCAGCTGCTGCAGGAGCACGTGGACACAGCAGAGGAGCCAGACGAAGAGTCATCGACCACACTGGTGGATTGGGACCCTCGGACTGGCAGGCTGTGCATACCGTCATTGCCTAGCTTTGAACATGATTCACAGGGATGTGAGCAGCCTGAGTTCAAGGAGCTCACGGAGGAAGGCCTCTTGTCTAAACTCTATGAGGAGCAGACTCCAGATGAGCCATCGGAAGGAAACGAAGCCTATCTCATGAAATTCATGGAGGAATGGGGATTATATGTGCAAATGGAGGACTAACCCCTGAACTTCCCTTTGCCACACCCCTGCTGTTAAAAGGCACATGAGTTCAGACATAGGAGTGACCAGACAATAAAGGACGTGGGATGAAAGAAGTTTACTCAGATTTTCTGTGTCCATGAGAATTACTTATTTCTTCTCTATTCTCATAACACTACTTGTTTCATTCTGCCTCATACGGGGGGTTGGTTCACGCATGTGGGTCTCTCACGATGATGGTGGGCACCTGGAATGCAGAGGCTGACCCACTGTTTTGTAGGCATTCAAAAATGTTTGCCAAATTGGATGAAGAATTTACTCAGGTGAGCGTGTATGACCTCTTGGTTGATTATTTTCAAAGAAGCCTACTTCTGCATTTATTTTCTGGGCACTTACCAAGTGTATAGCACTGTAAAAAAATATTTCATGAAGACTATTCATTTTATAAATACTCCTTTGTTTAGAATTTGGTTGATTGTCAGAGCGATGAGATACTTAAAACATACAAATACCACTAAATTAGTGGTAAGTTGGTGACATTTAAACCCAACCCACTATTCAAACGCAATAATCCAAGTTCAGAATGAATAAATCAGGCACAGATCTTGATATTACACATTTTTGGCTACTTAAAGTGTCCATATTAATATTTTATGAGAACTTCTGGAGTGTTAACATAAATGTTATTATTATTTTGTAGTCAGAAAATGTCCTCGCAATAACTTAGTAGGCACTTTTAGTAGGGGACTAACCTGAAAGAAAATGCCATCTTTTATGCTACATAGTACATTTATTTCTGGAAATGTGTCTTTATTTTTTTTTTAAGATTTTATTTAATTATTTGAGAGAGAGAGAGAGAGAGTCAGTGCAAGAGAGCACAAGCACAGGGAGCAGCAGAGGGAGAGGGAGAAGCAGACTCCCCGCCGAGCAGGAGCCCAATGCAGGGCCCAATCCCAGGACCCTGGGATCACGACCTGAGCTGAAGGCAGATGCTTAACCAACTGAGCCACCCAGGTGCCCCTGGAAATATATCTTTAAAAAGATATTTACATTGTCTCTAAACTGGAATGTGTTTAGCAGGTGAAGCACTATGTCACTATTATAATATCAAATATTCTATTTGAATGAACAATAATTCAAAGACCCCTTGGAGTATGTATGATGAATATCCCCTACCTACAGAATCTTAAAGTCAATAAACAACGATATACAAACAAGGATATACAAAATATACAAACAATACACAAAATATGCAAACAATATACAAACAAGAATATAGAAAAGAAAAAGATAGAATATGTAAGGGAGAATGTATTAAAATTCGCCACAATTTACTGTGGGAACTGAAGTGTACCATAAACAATACCATCCTAGTAAATTTCCAGGAACTAGTCCCATCTCCTACACCATTCACCTAGAAAGTTCAACTCTGTAGTGACTGCATTGATATATGACAGAATTGATAAAGTTGGCCTATATAAAATTACTGACATTTGACAGTTTTTGACCTGTAGAAGCAGCAATATCATATTATTTGACCTTAATACATATTTGTTTTAATCGTGAACTCATGATCCATCCATGGTCTTACAGGAAAAAGATAACATCCATATTTCCTCGTTTATATTTTGGCACAAGCAGACAATCCTGGTAGGACAGATGGATTCTGGAGTCATGGTCTGTAGAGATTGTCCACAGGTCCAAACCATTTCTGATCTAATGATTTGATTTAGACTATAATTACATTAACCAGAGTGTTCTGTTCCTCTCAACTTGGTAGACATGATTCTGCTGGTTTTGAAGAACAAATTTATAATACTAACTGTAAAAGACATTGAAGAGTGGGAAAGAGCGAGTCGTTATTAAGAGCAGAGAGAAAACAAAGTGACTGGTGATAGTTTGGTTTATTTGTTTTAGTCACAAAATATTTACTTGAGCACCTGCTGTGTCTTAGTGTCCTCATCTATGAAATAGAGATGACAACTCACTCAGGGCTGTTTTGACATGAACAGAGTTGGAATACAGAAGGCACTTAGAACAGTGCCTGGCCAGTAGTGAGCGCCATGTGCTTACTGTTATTAACTGCCAGAGCATGTGCTTAGTGCCAGAAAGACAAGCCATTTGGACATGACTATTTCAACTCAAAGCCCGAGTGTGCCTCACCTGGTTTTTCTTACCCAAAAGTGCCATCGTACTTTGCTTCCTACTTTATGCCTTCAGATTGAAATCGTCAGTGGTTTTGTAAAAGGGAATCTAATTCTGAGTTGCTTTTACATCATTCTAAGCATGTCAGGAGTATTGAGCATTTCGAAAATTTTGTTGCTTCTACATCTTCCATGTTACATAGGTTCTCCTCATGAAAACATCAATTCGTGGCCCTATTTCTGGAACCTATGAATTCTACGTTGGGTGAATGAAAATACACCCACTACAGAGTGAGTGAAGCCCATGTACATGGGAAGGGGGGACGTGGAAAGGGACACTGACCCCTCAGCCTACAACATGGGAAAGATCTGGTGCCCCCAGGCTCAGCTAACTCTGCAAGAGAAAAACTATTTGTACAGCCCAGAGCGCGAATCTATCCAGCATATGGTAAATTTAATGAGAACATTAAATAGAGGGCTCCATCAGCACAGATCAATGCACCTGGATCATAAATCACATTCTTTCTGGCCCACACATTACCACCCTCACATCTTGAGGGGAATTTTTGCTAACCTATTTTGGAAGAACTGGTTTTCTCTATTTTCTTTGTGGTTCCCTTCATGGTATTTTCTATAAATCTTCTATCTACAGGTTTTTGTTTTTGTTTTTTTTCCAAAGACTGTGCAAAAGCACGTGCCTATTGTTTTTTTACCAAAGAGTGCTATGGTTGTAGGTATTTTAATGGTTCTTGTTTTTCACTACAGGAGATAAACGTAGACATATTCATGGTAGAGTAACTAGAAGTGAAGGGAAGGGGGCTAAAAATTACCTGTCAAACCCCCTCCCAGTTTCAACCACTGTAAACCTATTAGGTAGAGAAATGCTTCTCTACTGGGAGTGATTTTTAGCCCCAGTGGACATTTGGCAACGGCTGGAGACATTTTTGATTGTCATGACTCAGAGGAAAGGTGCTGCTAGTGTGGGGACTGGAGCGAGAGCCCAGGAATACTGTTAGACGTACTAGCATGCACAGGGCGGCACCTCATAAGAAAGTTCTCTTGTCCAAAATATCAGTAGTGCCTAGGTTGATTACCTTGGTGTCGAATTTTCCAGACACTTTCAAGTATATATGTGTATATTTTTCCCAAAAAGAGGAATCATACTGAACTCTTCTATAACTTGCTCTTTTCACTCAAAAAATATAACAAACTATCTTATTTTAACTCTACTTAGATTAACTTTATGAAGCCTCAGTCTTACACTGGAACTATTGAAATGGCAGATTATGAATTATTTTTTCTAAATTCAATGATTTAAAATGTTTTTAGTCAAACAGCCACCAAAAGTTGGAGTTATTTGGAGCAAAGAGCTGTGAGTCCTTTACAGATAACTGAACCTCTCCAAAATGTTATTTTCTGAAATCGCCACCTCTGCGGAGCGGCCGGCTGATTGTTAGGTGGTCATTTATCTGTCCTTTGAGGTATTGGCTTCCCCTGTGCTTAGTTCTTAGTACTCTCCTCCTGCAGTCTTTGGGATCTTCAGTGACAGGTGCTGGAAGGCAACCTTGGCTTTCACTATAAATACTGGATAAACATTCATCTTTATCACTGATATTCCTCCAGTCTCCTTTACCTGCAGTAGCTGCAAGATTTCTTTCTTACTTTGTTGGTTTGAGTCTTTAACAGATTTTCCAGTTGGTGTTCATTTCTGAGTGCCAGTAAAGATGCCAGGTTAATATTCCTATTGCTACATCCAAGGCTCTCTTCAGAAAGAGGTGAGAGCTGGTGTGTTTATGCAGATAGAGGGAGGCTCCTTCTGTCCTCAGGAATGGCTGCCTGCCCATGTTTGTCTCTGGTGCTTTGCTAAATTTGTAAGCAGATGAGGTATTTTCTCCCTTACCTCCTCAACAGATTTCTTTTGATTTCTCAATCTCTCATTCTCTGGATTAGGTTGTATTTGGAGGTTCCCCACCAACTCAGAAAAATGGACATATGCCTCATGTTTATGTTTTCATATACAGGCCACTGAGACAATGAACACTGATGGGGATAAATACTATCCACTATCCACCATTTGTCTGTCCCTGGAACTGACATACGTGGGACATACAAATTAGCCACTGCTCTTAAAAAGCTCATATAGTTAAGATAGTTTACATAATAGTCTCTCTTCTCATGAATTGCATTCCTCCCCATTCTGAAATTGATTCAAAATGCAGATACTTCAGAATATCTGATATAAGCGGGGGGGGGGGGGGGAGAAATCATGGGAATTTTAATCCCAATCCCCAAAAAGGAGGCATGCGATATTGGATCTTTATTAGATTTATTGGCTTTGTGCTTCTAAAAGAATTTATTAACAAAATTAACTAACAATTGACCAACTTACTAACAATTTGACTAACAAAGGTATATATGGATAAATGAAAAAAAAGCCCTAGAACTTTTCAAATTGACTGAGTGATTGATTAGCAAAAGAATCAGTATGGTATACTGACTGGAAGTACAAACTGAAGCTAAGAAGCTTGGTTCAAAGTCCAGCTCTGTCTCTTCTTAGGCTTGTCTCTTAGGCAATTTACTTAACCTCTTTGGACCAAATTCCCTCATCTGTGAAATGGGGATAATAATTATACCTACCTCATAGGGTTGTGGGAGGTTTAAATGAATCAATACATTTAAAGTGATTAGAGGAGTACCTGGCACAAAATGAGAGCTTTATAAATGTCAGCAATGGAAAAAGCACCAGAAGACATATATAAGAATTTTCATAGAAACATTATTCATTGAAAAAAAGAAACCTTGCAAAGCACTAATATCTATCAGCAGGAGAAAGCTGTGAAAATGAGTCAAGTACACCTATACGTGAACATGAATGAA